GGAGGGGGAGGGGGCAAAGCCGAGAGAGTCAGTGGTTTCCATGGTGATGGAGCTGAAAGTGCAGGAAATTTAAAGGCTTGGACCCAGCGAGACAGACAAACCGGTGCCAACGTGCGCGGACGCCGCCGCCGCCGCCGCCGCTGGAGTCCGCCGGGCAGAGCCGGCCGAGGAGCCCGAAGCAGGCGGAGGGAAGTGCCCCAGGACCCGCTCGGCCAGCGGCGCTGCACAGAGCGGCAGGACGAGGAGCAGCGAGAGGAGGAGGAGGGGAGAGCGGCTCGTCCACGCGCCCAGCGCCGCCGCCGGCCCGGGAAGGCAGCGAGGAGCCGGCGCCCCCAGCGCCCCGCGGTCGCCCTGGAGTAATTTCGGATGCCCCGCCGCGGCCGCCTTTCCGACTAGACCCGAGAGAGGAGTTGCGGCCAACTCGTGTGCCTTTTTTCCACCCCAGTGGGAGCCGGCGCTGCGCAAAGGCTCTGCTCGCGGCTCATGCTGCCGGCCCTGCGCCTGCCCAGCCTCGGGTGAGCCGCCTCCGGAGAGACGGAGGAGCGCGGCGGCGCCGCGGGCTCAGCGTGCTCTCCTCCGGGTACGCCGGACGAAGCTGCAGCCCCGGGCGCGCGCCGGAGGCATGGAGCGCTGCCCCAGCCTGGGGGTCACCCTCTACGCCCTGGTGGTGGTCCTGGGGCTGCGGGCGGCACCGGCCGGTGGCCAGCACTATCTCCACATCCGCCCAGCTCCCAGCGACAACCTGCCCCTGGTGGACCTCATCGAACACCCGGACCCTATCTTTGACCCCAAGGAAAAGGATCTGAACGAGACGCTGCTGCGCTCGCTGCTCGGGGGCCACTACGACCCGGGCTTCATGGCCACCTCTCCCCCTGAGGACCGACCCGGAGGGGGCGGGGGAGCGGCTGGAGGAGCCGAGGACCTGGCGGAGCTGGACCAGCTGCTGCGGCAGCGGCCGTCGGGGGCCATGCCGAGCGAGATCAAAGGGCTGGAGTTCTCCGAGGGCTTGGCCCAGGGCAAGAAGCAGCGCCTGAGCAAGAAGCTGCGGAGGAAGTTACAGATGTGGCTGTGGTCGCAGACCTTCTGCCCGGTGCTGTACGCGTGGAACGACCTAGGCAGCCGCTTTTGGCCGCGCTACGTGAAGGTGGGCAGCTGCTTCAGTAAGCGCTCGTGCTCTGTGCCGGAGGGCATGGTGTGCAAGCCGTCCAAGTCCGTGCACCTCACGGTGCTGCGGTGGCGCTGTCAGCGGCGCGGGGGCCAGCGCTGCGGCTGGATTCCCATCCAGTACCCCATCATTTCCGAGTGCAAGTGCTCATGTTAGAACTCGGGGGCCCCCTGCCCGCACCCGGACACTTGATCGATCTCCACTGACGCCACCTACACCGACTCCAACCAGTTCCACCACCCTCTAGCGAGGGTTCTCAATGAACTTTTTTTTTTTTTTTTTTTTTTTTTTGGCTA